TAACTGTTTCGTAAACAAATAGAACAGTTATTTTTCTTTCAAATTTTCATTCAATCTTTTTGTTTAGTTTTTTAGATTTAAATTCAATCTTTTTTGTTTAAGGAAATTAAATAAAATAAAAATGTAAGTGGTTACACAAAATCGACCCCCGCTACTTAGGGGTGTAAAAATGGCCTATGGATTGTCCAAAGCCCTCTCGTGGCCATGGCGGCCTTAGCCTGGCCCTTCTAAGTCTGGTCAAGCCCAAGCCTGAGCCTAGCCCATAACCTTGGGCTTGGGTTTGGGACGTTTGTTTGGAAGCCCGGCCCAACCCACGAGTCTAGTTTGAAGTTCAACTCGAAAATTTTTGCCCCTAAGGCCTGGCTTGACCCCCAACGGCTCTTGCGTGCCCACAGTAACATAATTCAAAAAAAAAATTAAAAAAATCAATTGAAACGGCCATTTAACCGTTTACAACCAACAACCAAATTATTATTATTATTATTATTTATTTTTTTATTTTTTTTATACAAATAAACCCCCTCCTCCCAAACTCCTATAAATACCACCCATTTCCCATTTTATTTCTATTTCGCTTTAGGAGGTATCAGAGCGGAGTTTTGGGTAAATCCCTTTTGGCAAACAATTCTCTCTCTCAACTCTCTTAATTAATTTTGAAGTCTTATATCTAAGTGGCAATTGCAATTGTGTAAGAAGAAACTTTTATCATAAGAAGTTAATTTTTGCATTGCATTCACCAGTGGTAACATTAATTATTTGAATTAAATTTTATTAGTTACTCATTTTTTTACATTAATTATTTCTTAACATATATTAGCCATTATTGTTTATTCATTATTTAAATTAATTGTTAGTTCTTATATATTATTTTACTTATATTATTATAGATCCTAATATTCTTAATATTTATGTCAATATTGATGCATATACTATACAACATGAATATATTGATTCTCCTTCTAATGTACCTAATATCCATTTTCCAACAACTGAATTATCATCTAGGGGCACGGCTAGTAGTGTTTTGGAGCATTTCGAAAGAATATTTGTAAATAATCATGATGGTACAATTACAATTAAAGCAAAATATAAATATTATGCACATTTACTTAGTATTGCATTTGCAGGGAATACTAGGCATGTTAACAAACATTTGCAAAATCAATAACCTGATATTAGAAGTTAAATGCAATTAGGGGCTTCATTAATTGGTTATTTCCAAATATTTTCATATGATCCTATATGTGTATAAAATTTTGTAGTTGATTATATTATTAAAAAAGAACAACCTTTTATTACTAATGAATGCCCCATTTTTTAGAAATGATTCACGGAGATTTTGCACCGCAATATCAAGGTTTTTTGAGAAATACTATTAGAAATAAGATTTTTTTTAAAAAATATAAGGATATTAAAAGTGAATTATTTGACATATTCAAAATTTTGAATGGAAGAATTTGTTTAACATTTGATATGTGGTCAAATAATGATTTAGAATATCAATGTATCTTGCACATTTTATTGATAATGATTGGAAATTAAATAAAACAATATTTCATTTGGATTAGTTGAACTTCCATACACTGATCATTCCTTTGGTGTAAAAATAAGAAATGCATTATATGAATGGGCTTTGCAAAATAAAATATTTATAATTAGTTTAGATAATGTAGCATATCATAATCAGACTATAGTCCATTTGAAATCAACTTTACAATTACTTGTTGATAGTGATTTATTTCATATTCTTTGTTATGCTCATATTTTAAACTTGATTGTTAAAGAAACTATGCATGTATACGAGATTTCTATACTGGTAATAAAAAAAATACTGTTGTTACTATTATGTCTTTTGCTAATCGAATTTCAGAATACAAGAAAATTTGTCAACAAGAAGGTATACTATTTAAAAAATTAATTTTAGATAAACGTATAATATGTTAAAGATAGCTTGTAAATAAAGAGAAGTAATATATTTATTTTTTGCAACAACATCAATAGGAGGAATACTGACTCCACAGAACTGAATTAGCACCAAGTAGCCTTATATAAATATTTTCTAAACGTTTTTGATATTGCAAAAAAAATATTTTCTTATATATATTCCTACTTTACTATTTGTTTTACATATGTTAGCAGAAATAATGAAAGTTTTGCAAACTATAAGGGTAATGAATTTTATGTAATCATTATTACTGCAATGAAAGAGAAATTTGACAAATATTTTGATCAATTGCCCCATCTTTTAGATTTAGCCATCGTAATTGATCCTAGGTGTAAAAACACTAGTTTACAAGAATTTTTAGAATGTATTTTTGTTGATAAAAATAACTTGCCCTTATTATGACAACATGCCGAAAATTATTTGAATAATATAGGCAATTTGTGGTTGCAAATACAATTACATACACTACACCAACCTCATATTGATGTGGAAGATTAAATGTTTTTTCAACAATAAAAAGTAGAAGAATATTTCAACATACAAGTGTAAGTAGTTCTAAACTATAACGTTATTTGGAAAGTCTACCAGTGAATGATTTCAAAGATTTTGACATTTTAGATTGGTGGAAACAAAATGAAATTATGTGACCTGTACTTTCACAGATGGCCCGTGATATTCTAATTGTTCCTATTTTTGCAGTTGCTTCTGAAACAACTTTTAGTGCAAGTGGACCGGTGCTAAACGATTTCTACAGTAGGCTTTCACCCCAAATGGTTGAGGCACTAATGATATCTAGAGATCAAATGTATGCGCTTATGAGAAGACAAAATTATAGTGAAAATGAGAGAAGTCAAAACGATTTGGATGACATATTGTTAAGTAATGCCAGTGAATTGTCTGCCTCCTCCAATAATTGATCAACAATATGTTTTTCACTATTTCATTTCGTTATTTTTTTGTGTTATATTATTGAGGTGGTATATAATGTAAACGATTGGTAGGTTAGTAGTTGTCAACCTAGTTAGAATGTAGTTGACCTATAGTGATGCAATTGCTCTATCATCATCAATAATCTATATCTATTATGTTTAGGGGTTGTTTGGGGTGCCCTAAATAAGTGCACTTTTTGTCTTTTTGAACTAAAAAGTTGAGGAAAAAAAGATAGATGTTTGGGTTAATTTTTTGACTTTTATGAAAAAATATGTATTTAAAAATTATATAAATAAATGTATAGGAGAAGTTAGTGAAGTAGCCCGTACAGTCTGGCAGAGCAGTGGGTTGATTGGAAGATAGGAAATGGTTGTCTCCTTTTCGTGCCTGAATTGAACAGTATTGTTCGGCCCGTGTGGGCCCACCATGAGTCTCGTTTTGCTAATTGGAACGGTTTAATTTGTAGAACTCGTCGAGTACTGTATGTTTGTAAAAAATCACGTTGATCGGATATCGATAACTATCTGATCGTATTAGTTTTATGTCAACCATTAACTATAATACCATCCATTTTTTATATAAAACTGATTTAATCATGTAGTTAGCGATATCCGATCAATATGATTTTTTACAAGCATATAATATTCTACGAGTTCTACACGTTAACGGTTTAAATTATCAAAACGAGACCCATAATGGGCCCCCACGGGCTGAACATCACAATGTCGTTTGTGCACCCCACCTGTGCAATTTTTTCTAAAAAGTCAACAAAGTCAGTGGGGGAGACAGGCACCGGTTGTAATAATTAAGTGTAAAATTAATTATTTTTATATTTTTTTGATGAATAGTGATAACTTTTTAACTTTTTGAATAACTTTTTGACTTTTTGACTTTTTTATATACCCCAAACCAAGCCTTAATGATATAAATTTTTATAATATTTTATTTCATTTTGAAATAAAAATTATTCATTCAATAAATGTTATTTATTTAATTTAATGATTGTAATATTCAAAGTTTCATTTTGATATATATATATATATACAATTATTCATTTCAAAAGAAGACAATTACATAATTTCATACTTTTTTAGTCATAACCAAAAAAATATAAATATAACCAAATATCTCATTAATCTTAACTAAAATATTTTAGTATAATTTTTCTTTTCTTTTTTTATGCCTCGTAAATAATCTATATATATAGAATATTTATCGTTTATTTTTTAGAAAAAAGGCTCTCCAGGCTCGACCTTAGGCCTTAATTTGAGTGGGTCTAGGCCTAGGCCTCACTTTTCTACCTGCAGCCTGACTTGAAAAAAGCAAGAACTTGATACACCCAGTGGCGAACTGGTCCAGTCCGAGTATGAATGGACTAGGCCGGGCTAGAATTACACTTTTTATCCCTACCTAAAAAATATTTAAATGACATGAATTTTTAATTTTTAATTTTTAATTTTTTTGACACAAAAAGATGCTTTGTGAAGTCTGATCCGAGTTGACCCATTATCGACTAGATTTAACTTAATTCATAAAAGGGGAAATTATATTAAGGAAAATGAGTTGGACCCCCTCAAGGAGGCATCCCCTTTGACCCCCCCTCTCTCTCTGATTGGCCAGTTTTTCTTTTTTCCTTCTCCTCCAATCACCACCCGCCACGTGTGTGTGGAGGGTGGTGGGGGTGGTGATTGGAGGGGGTCTCAATCACTTCCCTTATATTAAGCCCCCTTAAACTATCGGTTATTTACACTTTACCTCCTTAATGTGTTTAAAACTAATAATTATCTTCTCATACTATTTAAATTTGAACATTAAGTCATTTTGTTAGATATTTAGATGAAAAATTATCAAGTATTATACACATGATGATTATATTAAATTTTATAATCAAATTAATCTATTTTATGTTTTGTAAAATTTAATATAATTACCATCTGAACAGTATTTGATAATTTTTTATTCAAATATTTAATAAATGATTAATAAAAAAACTTAATATTTAAATTTAAATAATTTAAAATAAATAATTGTTGAATTTAAAATATTAAAAGGTAAAATATAAATAACCGATAATTTAAGTACCCTTCATAAAAAGGGATTCATAAAAAGGGTCCAAGTACCAAAAACTTTTTTTTTCATCATGAATTTAAGGACGCCCAAAACTGCTACAGTGCCAACTGTGCCGCTCGTTTTTTAGGGTTCATCGTGTTCTTGTGTAGAGAGAGAGAGATCTCTCTCTAAATTACACACTCCCTCTCTCTGAGAATGATTGTTGCATCACACACCTGACCTGAGTGGAGGTACAGCTCTTCATTTCCCATTCCTTGTTTGGCAAGGGTTTTGGCTCTTAAACCTCCTCACACTCTCTCTCTCTCTCTCTAGAATCGGCATTGTTGGGCTGAGAGAGCTCATCTATATCTTGATTCTTTTGCTAATTTCGGTATGTATTAGCATTTCTATCTCTCTATCGCTAAACTTGTATCTCTGTTTGAGTTTGATGTATTATATTTTACAATTTTTCAAAGTCATTGTCTCTCATGAAATGTCTCTGTTTTGGAACTCCAAGACATAGTTCTTGTGACTGGTTTTGGTTATAGGATCGATCTGATGTTGACCGTTGCACTGAGAGATGAGGTAGAATGATCGATTTTTTTTTTTTTTCGAGAATTCTTTTCCTCGGCTATATGGTTTGGATCAATGTATTCTGTTTTAATGGATCGAACTTTTTGGTCATGTTTGGTTTGTATTTGTGAAACAATTTTGAAAAATAATTTCTGGAAAGAGTTTGCAAAATTTGAAAATTTGTTTGGCTGTATGTTTTGAAAATAGTTTTGGAATTTGGGATGATTTAATTTAATTTTTTTTTTTGGTAGTTGAATGGATGGATTTGAGAGAAAAAGTGACTTGTTGAGAGAGAAAAGTGATTTTGGATTTTTTTTTTCAAAAATTTTCAATTAAAGAAATTTTTGAAATTTTTTCTCAAAAATTGTTTCTCAAGAGACAAACCAAACAAGCCCTTAATTTCTCTGATTCCTAGAATTTTTTAGCAAGAGAAAGTTTCAAGGACATTGTATTTTATTGGGTTTTATTTTCCCACATAAATTATTTCCTACAAATTGCTTTAGCCTGTGTGTGATCCTTTGTAAGCATGTGTAAGAGGCCTAACCATAGAGGGGCTGGCCTCTCAGGCTAGAACCAAATGGAGCCAAGGCCTCAGAGCTGAGTCGCATACTCGCACATTGGTGGGGATTTGAACCCATATTCCTGACAATGGGTATGGGGGGTGTGGTTCGCCCAAGGCAGTAAGGTTCTGGAAGGTTTTTCCTACCAACCATATATGCGGATGTCTAGCCCAGGGAGAATCGAACCTAGAACCTTGGGTATAACAATCCAAGGTGTTACCACTCGACCACACCCCTTGGGTTAAGCATGCGTAAGAGCCATCTCCAATGGCATGCAAAATGAGCTTCCATTGCCAAAATTTGGCTGGACTTCAAGAAAAAAGCTATCCAATGGTATGCCAAACGAGTTGCTAACTTGCTAGAATTTGGCAATGGAAAACTTTGTGCCATAATGTTCGGCACTTCACAAATTTGCCAACTCACACTTTCTCTTTACCTCTTTGGTATTTGCATTTGGCGTTGTGTTAGGAAAATACTAGAAATGACATTCGTACTATTGGAGCAAGATTGCCAAATTATATTGGGTAATGTACATGCCAAGACATGGGTTTGGCATTGTCAAAATGGAAAAGGCTTCGCTTATAGTTCATGACTAAATAGTTTTTAATTTAACCCCTTTGCACACTAAATTCTTTGAGTTGCATAATTGCATCAATGTGTAATGTTAAATACCATAAATGAAGCCCATATATAGACATCTTTAATTCTTATTTTTCACTCTTGTTTCATTCATGATTATGATTTTCATTTCAAAATTTAATAAAAAATTTATGTGAAAATTGTATTAATGTTTCACTATTTTGCTGAACTAAATATAATTGTTTTATCCATTTAGCAAAAAGGTGATTTTTTGGTTTGTGCCTTGATTTACCTTTAGGGTTAACATACAAACTAGTGTTATCTAGCTGGGCCTTGAATTATCCTCTAGGGTTAATATTCAAGCTTCTGTTATCTTGTTTATTTCTTTCCTTTCATTCGAAAGTTGACTTAAATATGTTATGGATGTCTATCTTATGCATTCATTGCCTCAAGGAATTCCAGTGCTATTAGGCCTCGTTTGGCAAGAGGCTATTTTAGCCAATTAGCCAAAAAGTTACTAAATTAGCAAAAAGCCAACAACTCATACCAAAAAGTCAAAGATTCTCTTTTCTCTCTACTTTTTGCACATCTTTTCGTAATTAGCCAAAAAGTCATTCCGAACATACAAGTTTTTTTTACCTACCTTTTTAGCCAAATAGCCAAAAAGTTACTAAATTAGCCTGTTCCTAAACGAGGCCTTAGTACTGATTCTTTCATGTTAGTTATCCTCACAATTTGTTTGTGGCTTTTGGCTTCAGGTCCCATGGAATACAGTTCAGATGAAGAGTCAGATTTGAGTGAGTCAGAAATCAATGAGTACAAAGAGAAACCTTATGAGCAACTGAGGACTGGGAAGTACAAAGTAAAGAATGCAAATGGCACTCTCAGGTGCCCCTTCTGTGCAGGAAAGAAGAAACAAGATTACAAGTATAAGGACCTTCTTCAACATGCCTCGGGAGTCAGTAAAGGTTCTGCCAACAGAAGTGCAAAACAAAAGGCGAACCACCTTGCACTGGCAATATACTTGGAGACTGACCTAGCGGACGAGGCCGAGCCACCACAACATGTGATTGAACCAGCTCCAGTATCTGAGAAGTCCGAGCAAAATGATTTATATTGCTGGCCTTGGACAGGGATTGTCACAAACATTGTCAACGAGATAGAGAATGGAAAAGCTTTGTGTAGCAGTGGATATTGGTTGAAGAAGTTCTCTAAATTTAAGCCTCTAGATGTTGAGATTTTTTGGGATGACCAGAACCAAACTGCCCAAGCTGTTGTGAAATTTGATAATGACTGGACTGGTTTTAAGAATGCCATGGAATTTGAGAAGACTTTTGAAGCTGATCATCACAGTAAAAAGGAGTGGAAAGCTCAGAAAGGACTTTCTGGTTCAAATCTTTATGGATGGTTTGCGCGTGCTGACGATTATAATTCAGAAGGTTTAGTTGGTGAGTACCTTCGTAAAGAAGGAGAGTTGAAGACAATCTCTAACCTTGTCCAGGAAGCCACTCAAGATAGAAACAAAATTGTGGCTAACCTAGCCAATGAGATCGACTTAAAAAATGAAAATTTGGATGAGTTGCAGTACAAATACAATGAGAAGACAATGTCTTTGAGCAGGATGCTTGAGGAGAAAGACATGCTACACCATGCATTCTACGAAGGTTCTCCCTCCTATGTGTTTGTGCACCATGCATGTGAATTTCCATATCTTTATTCCTGCATAGAGGCCTATTTATTCGTGATGGTGAATAGGTTATGTTTATTGACTTTGTTCTGCTCAGGGAAGGGTGCTTTGATATCCGTACCTCTTCATATGTTTGGATTCTCACCCATTGATGGATCCACACCAAATGCATAGCTTGCTACCTGTTTCTAATTATCGGATATAAATATTTCAAAATTGATATTATGATTTCTTAAAAGGGGCCTATGAGTAGTGTGTGAAAATAAAATATGAAAATTTGGTCAATGCCTCTAGGTGAAGAACATTTAGGGCTTCCTGGATTCAAAACGGATGGGTATTCCTTTTTTGATTAATTACATAACATTTTTTGGGTTCATGATTTTACTTGGAAAAAAAAAATAGTTTGTGATATATAAATATTCCATCTGTGTCTCAGAAACAAGGAAGATGCAGCGTCTAGCACGAGAGCACATTCGAAGAATTTTAGATGAACAGGAGACGCTGAATTATGAGTTGGAGGCCAAGAGAAAGGAACTTGATTCTTGGAGTAAACAACTAAACAAACGTGAAGCATTAACTGAACGAGAGAGACAGAAACTTGATGAGGAGAAAGAGAAGGTGATATACGTTCATTATATGCATGTCTACACATTCAAGGAAACACATACATATGCTGTCCATTTCATACTTTGACATCTAACATTTTAGCCTCTTTGTCATTGATCCAAGTATTATTTGCTGATTGGTTAGTTGGCACGCCTGAAGATGTTATGTGAGCCTTGCCCATTCTCTTCAACTATGTGTCTTCTTAGTTTATGGAAGATGGTCGATGATGTGGTCAGAGCAAGGTTTTAAAAAGCGGCCGCAACCGTTACGTAACGTACGTAACGGTTTTGGTGGTTACTGCCACCCATTACGGTCGCTTTTGCAGTGTGATTGAGATTCACAGGTGTGTTGGCCGTAGCGGTTGTCATAGCGGTCGTAACGGTGTCGTAACAGCCGTAAGGGCTTGTTACGCACAGTTACGTAACGGTTCTGAATAGTTTCTTTCGAAAAAACACACAAAAAAAAATTGAAAATAGGGGGAAGAGAGATAGAGAGGAGGGAAGACAAAGAGAGAAGATGGAAGAGCAAAAGGTAGAGAGAGAAGAGGGAAAATGAAGAACATGTTATTGATTTATTGAAGCTGTAAGACCTATGCTATTCTATTCAGCTGCTATCACTCAACCATTTTATTTGTGTGCATCTATCTATATATTGTTTGATAATAATAATAATAATAATAATAATAATAATAATAAGAAGAAGAAGAAGTGTGGTCATTATCTATTGGCTTGGTTAAAATATGTATATACATAAATTTAGGCTCTTGTTTATTATCTTACTTTTGTCATTGTTTATCTTATATATAATAGTTATTGATTGATTTTTTGTATAATATAAAGTTATTAATTATTAAAATAAAATGTAAAAAACTCAGTTTATAGTGATTTAAAAATATGAAATATATTGGATCATATTTAAAAATTTACAAAAATTGATCAATATTTATTTTAAACCTAATAAATATGACCATGGAAAAAAAAAGTATGCGTGTCGGTAAGTTTTTTCAAATTGTACGAAAAATAAAAAAATTCACGATTCCGGTTACCACAACTGTTACGCTACGGCCTTTACACCCCGCAACCGCAACCGCAACCACGCCACTGCCACCGTTACGGTGACCGCAACCGCTTTTCAAAACCTTGGGTCAGAGTGAACCTTTTGGGATGATGGTGGGCACTCGAATGTTCAGAGGCCACAAGAGGTGAAGGAGAGTTGAGGCATCCTTGGGGAAGGAAAGGTGGTAGTAGGGGAGTCTTCCTAGCCAATAATAGATAGAGGATAGGCCTGTTGGATTGATATGGCCATCGTTCTTATGATAGATCTTGAAGATCATATCACGGGACAACAGTGGAAGGCCTCTTTCAGTGGGACAAAGTTAGGTGTGATATGGCTATTGAGGTATATCACATGTTTTGGTCAAACCTCTCTCATCTTAAAGTTGGTAAAGGTGGAGCCATGCCAAGCAGAGAAGCCTGTGCAACCTTAATTGTCCTCAATTCTAGCCTCCAATACACATCTCCTCCAATGGTCCCATGGATGACGGTCCTAGGTCTTGCTCCTAACCTAGGTTAGTACTCATAACATGGGTTGGAGATCCGATCAGTCAACCAGTTGTATCGGCGGGGTGTCACAACCCGCTTGACTGGAGTGGTACCAACTTTGATTGTGGAGACTGGTTAATCAAACAAGTGGGAGTAGCTCGTATTATGGGCGAGCCATGGATATTCATCGCCCAAGAAAGGGTCCTTGTACAAGGCCCAAGGCAAGGTGGTGCTGAGCTGTAGGCAGTTCATGGCATCATGAGCTCTTGGAGTAGAAGTCCTGTGGCAAAGCACACCATGTGCGCTTCCCCTTACTGGAGCAGCTCATCCTCACTGGGAGGGATGTAAAGCTTACTTTTGGTTCACATGCCACCTCATGAGGCTGACACATGAGCCTTCCCATTGGAGAGGGTGTGATGTAGTAGTCTTGGTGGTACCACGTGATGGACCTGAATACCTACGCATGCTTTTGACATCTAAGATTTAACCTTTTTGTCATTGATCCAAGCATTTTGCTGATTGCTTGTTTTGGCATGCTTGATGACGTTATGGGTGCCTTGCTCTCTATTGTCTTCAGAGTTTATCCTTATATTATACACTATGCAGTCTGAAACAGATGAAGACAACTCCACCCCTGGAAACTTACTAGTGAATAAAATATCTGTTAACTTATTTCTAGTATTTCATGTCTTCAGCTTGAAAAGTTAAATTTTCTTATACGAATGAAGAAAAAAAAACTATGTATATTGAAACTCTTTTACAAAAGCTGTTGCATTTTCATGTTTGATCATTCGTCATGCTCATTTACTGATATAACACCGTTATTTTTTTAGAATACGACAAGAAACAATTCACTGCAAATGGCTTCCATAGAGCAGAGAAAGGCTGATGAGAATGTCTTGAGGCTGGTTGAAGAGCAAAAGGTGTGCCACCTAGTATCAGACTTTGGTTGGATAGTGTAGTTTATACTTTTTAGCATTTTTTCCTATCTTTTAGCCATATAGCTTTCATTGAATAGGATTTTCATTTTGCAGAAAGAGAAACAGGAGGCATTACATAAGATACTTCAGTTGGAAAGGAAGCTAGATGCTAAACAGAAATTGGAGATGGAAATTGAAGAGCTTAAAGGAAAACTGCAGGTGATGAAGCATCTGGGTGACGAAGACGATGCAGCTGTTCAGAAGAAGATAAAAGAGATGAATGAGGAATTGGAGCTGAAGGTTGAGGAGATGGGTAGTTTAGAAGACTTAAATCAAACCCTTATTGTCAAAGAGCGCCAAAGTAATGATGAACTGCAAGAAGCTCGTAAAGAATTGATTGCGGTATGGTTTTCTCATGTTCCTATAATTTTGTTCTTTGAGGTCGTACTGTTTACATGTTATGTGGGACTATTTGTGTGAGCATTTGAGGCTATGAATTGGAGCGGTGTTTTTTCAGTTAGATGCAGTGTAGCACCTCACCCATGGGGTGAGCTGTCTGGGCCATGAATTAAACGTCCCATTCTGATTTTTCTTAGGTCTTGTAATTTGTCATCAAACAAATGTATTAACCTGTCAGCATGTCTTTTTCGCAGTTGCTGATAAAAATGATGTTCGATGTGAAGAAAAATTGAAATGGTTCCTAGCTCTCAAATAACAGCAACTAGTTGATAAATTATTTGATCTTGAATGTATTGTCAAATATCTAGCTCCCCTCTTAATACGATATAACCACCTCTCTGAGACACGTAATTGTGTACGGCTAGTTTAAATAATGGCTCAAGTCTTTTTACTGGGTGCAGACATTTTTCCCGATGGTGCTGAGAATTCATGGATTGTTCTCTTTCATTTTCAGGGCTTGAATGAAATGTTGAGTGGTCGCACTCTTATTGGGATAAAGAGAATGGGAGAACTTGATATGAAGCCCTTTCAGAATGCATGCAAAGAAAGATTCCCTTCAGACGCAGATGTCAAGGCCTCGGAACTGTGCTCCTTTTGGCAAGAAAAGATGAAGAACCCAGATTGGCACCCATATAAAATTGTTGCATGTGAAGAAGGGCATCAGGTATTGCTTTTGAATGTCATTCTACTAAACCATGCATATTCATTCTCTGGCTCTGTGCCTGTTCATTTGGTCGGTCATTTTATGTTGAATTCCTAGAGGTGGTTTCTCATTGTATAGTGTGATAACCTCACAACAAGCATGCAAGTCGTTCCCACATTCTCATCATTGTTTGAGTTTTTTTGGGTAAGTAATCGTTGTTTGAGTTGCTTGCAAGGGAATAGAGATTCTGGGCTGAACACTAAAACTTCTTTTCTGATTTTATGCTGACCATAATTAGAAACATGTCCTCTTTTTATTGAAATTTATATTGTTGCCAAAGTTTGAAGATTAAACTAGAATCTGTGATCGTCTCTTGATGTTGATGCATGTCCAGATAAAAATGAACTGTCATTAGATAAAATTGATTTTTATAGTGATTATGCATAATGCAGGAAATCATAAATGAGGATGATGAATTGCTGAAAAATCTCAAGGATGAGTGGGGAGTTGAGATATATGAGGCAGTCACAACTGCCTTGAAAGAGATGAATGAGTACAATCCGAGCGGCAGGTATGTGATTTCTGAGCTATGGAACTTTAAAGAGAAAAGAAAAGCCACATTGAAGGAAGTCATTGCTTATATCTTGAAAAACTTGAAGACACTGAAGCGTAAGAGGTGATAAGGTTGAGGTCAGTATTTATTTATGTATTTGAACTTTTTGTTATTTCAAATATACAACCGTGTTATGCAAAATCATTTTACTATCCATTTGAGGCTCCAATGGCATTATTTCATTATGGTTTCATAAATTACACCATGTTTAACGTAAGATCTTTATGCTAGGTGATGGAGAAAGTTGTGTCCGAGATGGAAGTTCAGAAGTGAGAAAGGCTCACAAAAGACTGCAAAACTGATAGAATCAGAATTTGAAACTAATTTCTTTGTAGTTATCTCCAACTGGGTGTATGCTACAACAGAACTTGTTAAATCTATGTTGCAACTCGCTAGACATTCTCATCTTTAATGTTTTCCATTATGTGGATGGCATGTTAGTATCAGCTTTGAACCCCACATTGTCTTATGCTTTCTTTTGTTTTGTTTTTCCCTGCATGTCACTTTTGTTTATTTTTTCCTAGGTAGGCTGAAACTGGAGTTTTTCTGCTGTGAATTTAGAGCCAATTTTGAAAGAGAATTGAGCTCTTGTTAGTTCTCCTCCAAAACTTCACACACAAACAAAGCCAAATCAAATTTCATGGAAATATAACTGTCCATTCAAGCTTTGATTCCCCCCTTTGGTATGATTCAGATTCGGCTGGCTTGATTTAGATGGGCCAGTTCTTGTATATAATTATATTCCATTCACATTTACGTTCACATTCACTTGCATTTTCTTTTTTCTTTTCTAAATTTCTTCTCAAATTTATGAACTAAATACAACATAAACAATTTTCATGTGAATGTTAGCCCTCTCACCCTAACTAGTCTAAAGCTTTGAAGCTGTTTCTGTTTGATGTGCTTTATGGGTTACTTTCCAACCGTACTTTGTCATTAAAACAATGTTTTACTTTTTTAATCTCTCCAACCCTTTGAATCGTTGTGATGGATTTGATTCAAAACAAGTGGTTAATTCTTGCAAATACTAATGCTGTGTGTGGTTAGAAAATTTGAAAAGAGATTTGAAAAAAGAAAAGAAAAAATTAAGTGAAATGTGAATAAAATATATTTATATTTCACTTAATTTTACACATATTTTCTCTCTTTTTCCAAATCTCTCAATCAAACACATTATTAATGTCCTTTTGTGTTCTATTTTGGATATGGCTTTGAGGGGGCTAGCTTTTTTTTTTTCCGTTAAATTGTATTACTTTGGAGTGTAAGACTATCATCCTCCTTTTAATATATTTTGCTTTCAGTTCTGTTCAGAAAGGATAGAAAAAGTGGCTCAAGCCCAGAGGAAGTTTTTTTATTCTGTGGCCCATAACTATGCCAAAATCATAATAATGCTAAATTCATATTTTTGCATATTATAGTATAAAAATGTCAAATTTTAATAATATTTCCATATAGATATAAATCTCTTATTTTTTATTTTTTATAATATGGTACACAACATAGCAAGTGTAATAGCAAACCACCATTTATTTATGTGAAGAGAGTTTCAATATGTGAATCTTACCAACTCAATAAAAATAGATGAGAAAAATACTTGAATTTGAATCACTTTTTGAATAGAATTGTGTGAATTTTTAATCTATAGTATCATCGAAACAAAATAAAATCATTCTACCGAGCAGCACACCCTCCAACACCATCTTTTTCTCCTTGATTTCTCTCTTTATATTTTTTTATCTTGACACAGAAGGAGAACATTATAAAATTTTATTGGAAAACCGACCCAATACTATCCGGTTAATATTTTAATAATCAAAACCAAACCAATGTATTGCAAAACCGAACTAACCCAACCCATTGAGTTCGGGTCAGCTCAGTTTTTGAATTTTCTGGACATTTTGTGATCCCCTAACTTGTACTACTACCAACGCAGCAGAAGCAGGAATAAATAACGGTCAATTTGCAGCACTTCTCTCATTTGCAGCCAATTTTTGGAATATAAATTAACTAAAACCTAAAGCATATCCCAGCCATACCTTATATACACAACTATCTTTTTGCAGTAAAATAACACATCTGATACTAAAAAATGCAAGAGTAGCCTCACCACAAACTCAGCAGAACACAATCTGTCCAAGAAGTTAAAACCAAAACAGAAATTTGAAGAATGAAGAGATTAGTAAAAACCACAAGGATTAAGAAAAAACCAAACATTTTCACTTCTATAATAGGAGGGAGTCTATCGCCGGGTCATACCAAAAAAAAAGATGTCAAAGCCACAATAGGCTCCCAAGTGCAAAGATGAGGGGGGAAAATTGCTATACTCTAGCTAAATACATGATGTAATCTTCCACAATAAATTGCGAGTAAAGAAGCCTCATTGAAATTTTTGCCAGCGAAGGATGAACGTAGATTCTATTCTTCCATACCAACGAAGCTAGATCAAGTGATTCTTCTAATCCAGTGCAAGTGATTCTACCTAATCCACCTGTGCACTGTGATGGCTCGGACAATGGCACAATACATATCCTGCCATGTAGTTGAAAACAGTTCAAACAAAAATACAACTTAGAAGATGCTATTATTGTGAAGCTGCTCATCCTACATGTTTTGCGATCAATGATTCATAAACAAGAAAGTCGCATAATTACACAACTGAAACACCTAATAATAAGTTTGAGCAAGATACAACATTACCATGTTAAAATTGCAATTCGACTCCTAACTATGAAAAGTCATCACCAAACCAAAATACACAAGGATTTATAAAACCAACTCCTACAAAAACAAATACAGAATAAAATGTGCAGAGTAAGAAAACTAAACAAAAGAACATGATTTGGTTTTTTTTCCATTTATTTTTTTAATAAAAGAACATAATTGTACAAGAAAAGAATAACAACATTTCATAGAATTTACCAACACATCATTTCAACGATAGAAGTGAGGCAATGCAATTTCTCTGCCACAAAATAAACCACTCAGTGGCCTCCTGATCTGCAATACACACCCCAAATCAAATATTAAGCACGAGATCTAGAAGCAAAATAGGTATCAAACATTGATAATAAACTCATGTAATGCTTTGATCGAAAAACAAAACTCATGTAATGCCATCTATTCACAGCAAGATATAGAAAAATTAAAATGTGAATAAAGAAATGTCAAATAGTAATGCATGATTGAGGGCCATGAAGAGTTTAAAAACGAAAATCTCACTTATTGTACAGATAGATTCTTAATTTACAATCTCACTTTTTGTACGGTTGTTACAAAGAAAAGAAACAAGAGCATCAATAAATGAAAACGAACTAGATTAAAATATAACATAATAGCAAGATACCCTATAAAACAAAAATGGTGGTAATATGTAATAATGACCATTAACAAAAAAAAAAAATTGAACTATAGTACCACTGAAATTCCAACAGGAAGAGCAAGATGGTCAGGAATCACAACAAATTCATCTAAACTGACAAACTAAAACAACATACACAGTATAACAGCTAGCACATTAAAGAAAAGACTTACAAGCTGCTACATTCTTCCAATGAATTTACATGAGTAGAAGTAATCCAATTGAGAACAAACTTCCAATCTCTGCAGGCTGCTTCTTTTGTGGCACCATCTCCGATTTTGATGATGTAGAAAAAGAGAGGAAAATACAATCGATGGCACTGCCAGTTTCATAGGAAGAAGGAAAGACGTTCTACTAAGGCTACAGATAAGACATGTTTTCTCTTCATCTCCTTTACAAAAGAGCAAGTAATATCGGATCTCACATACATGCCAAATGTTTGGCTTGGGAATAATTTGCATCCAACAGATTTTCATAAACAATTTGAAGAATTTAGGTGGAATGTCTATAGAAGCCCCAGCTACGTATAATTTATTTACTTATTTGGTCATTCTCATAACAATTGTCCTTCACTGAGTATGGAGATTAAAAAAGAAGAGAGTAAATATATTGACTGGTAAAAAGTTCAACAGAGAAATAGTAAGGACAAAGTTTGATCCTCCTACATCAACTAAGTTACCTGCTGACTAAACAATGACGGGTAATGGTGCATATAATGATAGTACTTCAAGTACAATTGTAGAAGTGGGTAATCACCCAACCAGAGAGGAAGTGATGGATTTAGTAGAGGCTTGTTGAACATATTAACTTTTAGAAGGAAGCTAGAGAAAAGATTAATAACCATGTTCTCTACTTCACAAAATAAAACTAGGATTAAAACTCCTAGTGTGCTAGGAACAAAAAAAAAAAAAAAATCCTCAAGACTATTTTGTTCCCATCCTCACAAGCTGTGAGAAGAATTTTGTAGTTTTCGGCTATGTTACATAGACTTGGGTATGAGTATCGGGTGCGGGTGTGTATTCAAGCATCAGACCTTCATAAATTTAAAATCTCTTAGGATCTTGCCATATATATCCAAAATTGGATATGGGTACGGGACACATCATATACATATATATATATATATTGCATATTATATGAAATTCTCGGATGAGATGTAAATTATGTAAAAATATAACAGAAATTAAATAACATTCAAGGAAAATATAAAATTTCTATATTTAATTTATGTGAGAGGTTAAAAATATTGATTTACTAGCAAATATAAGTTTCTTCTTCTTCATATATTGTAACAAATTAAAGGAGCCAAGTGTCTAAATTGGATAAGAGTATTGGACACATATCCCACACCCTTACCCATGCATGTCATATATGGTGGACACATCACACAAGTATTCTAGGAAAAATAGAAGAGTCCATGTAACACAAGTTTTCCGCCAGGCCTCTTAGGTTGTGAAAGGTTATGTTTAGTGGCTAGTTCCAACAGGTTTTTTGGGGCACCTCTTGTAAGCTTTATGGGGCTGTGCCTTGAACTTTGTTGTATACCTTTCGCATTTTCTTCGTAATAAAATGCTCACTTACAAAAAAAAAATTGTCGTACCCAGTGCATTAATTTCTCACTTACAACAGGATCTAGGTGAGATACTTCGTCGGCAGCTTTACTCCGACATTTTTGCAGAGGGGTTGATTCGTGTGACGCAAATAGTTGCCGCTTGGGCATATTCTTGTCCCATTCGGAACCCTTGTCAGCTTCTACAAATCATAAAATTCAAACAAGCAGAAAGTTGAAAAAATTAAGGATACAAAACTGACAAATAGGCAGCAATAAAGACCATGCAGATATGGAAAAATTGCAAAATGATCAACTAGAAGAATGAAGATCAAAAATAGATATTCCAGTCATTAAAAGATGCTTAAGCACCTAGTTACTCAAGTAGATGGATAAATTACTAGTAAACAAGATGGAGAACTAGATGCAATTAACTTAAAGCCTGACAAAAGACAAACATTGAATAATCTACCAAATCCAAGCCATAAACTCTTGAAGTAGCACACTACACACACTTGCACCAAATAAGAAAGAAACAAACACTAATAAACAAACTATCATAAGGGAGATTCTTAATTAAGAAACATCATTACCAAAAGTGTACATAGAATTGTGGTTGTAATCATGCACATACATACATACATAGCTCAATAAAAGCTATCCTTAATCTCTTTAATTTTTATTTATTTTTTATATTTTTTCAATGAGTATTCTGTCCATTTTCAACACCTAGACCATACAAAACACCAGCATACTTCTCAAGTGAGCCGCTAAAGAAATTCTCTTTCAACTTCCTGAATGTGCAAGCTGTGAGCAAACTATCTGAACCGGCCTGGTGACAAACACCAACTCTCTCAACTTCCAACAGCTCCGCAAGCTTGTTCAATCCACCATGAAGGCTATTGCAAAACTTCATAAGATGCTTGATGTCATAAACGACTGGAAAGTACATGTCGATCAGAGCAAAGAACCCAGCTTGTGTTTCGGGTAAATCATGACATGTCAATAGCTTGAGCAAGTACCCAAAATCATACCCACTATGGAATGTTACCCAATAAACATTATCATTCAAAACAATCCCTGATGACATCAAAAGCTCTCCGAACAGCTGTGCATCAATACCCTTTTCATTGTTTTTTTTGAAATCAATCCCGCTCTGGCGCAAGAGCTCGATGGAATCATTTGCAAAAACATCTTCATTAACATTAAATTCGCGAAAATTGAACTGCCAAATGCAATACTTTCCATCGCCACAGGTGGGTAAATTACCTTCCTCATCCGAAAACGTAAGGCCTAATTGAATCAATTTCAACATATCTACATTATCTTTCAAAGTCTGGTAATGATAATCGTTATTGTTCTTAAAATTACCCAACGGACGAAGAACAATTCCTGGAAATTCTGTATCCATCGCAATATACGGAAAATCGTCGACCAATTCGCGAATCAAACCGAACTCTTCCTCCAGATTGTCATTCCAAACGTCACGAATTTGAATCGAATCGCTTTTGGGCAAAACCGACATTTCTCAGGTACATAAAATCGATCAAAAAACAAAACTTTAAAAAAATCAAATCCGTTAGGTCAACGAATATAGAAGATCGAAAACGTAACGGATCTATTATGAAACTTCCTGATCCGAACCAGATCTGCAAAGAAACCCAATAAATTGAGCTAGAAATAAATCAAAACCCAGAAATCCATCGGAAAAAAAAATTGAAAAAATTGGTGGGTAAAAGTCAAAAGTTGTTGAATCTTACCAGGAATAGAGATGATCAAGAGATTGGGGGTTCGATAGTCAGATCGATCGTTGAATGAATCGAACGTATGGACATGGAAGAGACGAGGTAGAGATTAGAAAGAGAGATCCAAAGTTAGGGTTTGAATGTGGGGGTAACACAAGGCGGCTGAAGAGGGTGGGATTGGGGTATGTATGAGAAATGTCAAAAATGGGTGTCAAATGTAAATACATCATGAGAGGTAGACAGAAGCTTTTAGAAGATGGAATATGAGAGAGGGAGAGGGATGTGAGTGGTTCGATGATGACGCGGTTGCGGCCCTTACCTCATTAACCCTATCTTCAACATTATTGAAGAGAGAGCAAAATTGATAAGTAATACTTACATATTTTAAATTTTGAACTAAAAATCTTTTTTTTTTTTTTTTTTTTTTTTTTTTTGGGTGGAGGGGGAGGGGGTTATATTATAATTTTTTATTTTTTATATATATTTTCGTAAAAAATAAAAAATTATAATTATTTAAAAAGGTAAAGTACTCGTTTGGAATCAAATGCTTGGATTAATTTAGTCATACTTTTTCAAAATAGACTAATTTAGTCATAAAAGACAAAAAAGTGCCTGAAGGGTTCAACCTGTGTAGAAATTACCAAACTCACCCCATTGTGAATCCTTTTCTATGACACCAGCACCAAAAAAAAAAGAGGCAAAAAAGGTATGTGCCATCGGCAAAGAAGAAGAACAACGTCTGCTGTCCATATCCCAAGCCCAGCAAAGTGTACATCGCTGACCACACTGCAACCATCGCATCCTCGCCACCACCGATCGTTAGGTACACAAATTTCATTTTGGTTTTGGGTATTTCGTCTCTTTCAACCCAATTTCCTAGGGTATTGATTAATCATCCATTTTTTTGTTGTGTGGATGTTATTTGTTTGTTGGGCATATGGGAAAACCACGGTATTACGATAGATTAGACAGGAAATTGTGATGTGTGCAATTTTTTTGTTTTTCTTTAGAAAATTGCTCTCTGAAATTATAATATCCTGGATGTGTTCCATTTTTTTTGCTCAAATCTTTGCTTCTGTACAGTAGTTATCTGTCGATTTTTGTGAAATTTTTAATATTTTTTTTCCATTCTACACATGTCCTGCTGCTGTGTTGTTGATATTGTGCTGTGGTGTTGCGTGTTGGTGGAACATTTTTTCTTCATGAAATGAATTTTTCATGCAAATTATTTTTTTAATGCTCTGCTATCTGCAAATTTATTAATGTTAAAGGTCAATCAGTGTGGAATTTTCAATTCATTTGGAAGATATGAAATTAGGATTTTATTATGGACCTCATTTAAAGAAAAACAATTGTCCATGAAAATAAACCTGTTGATTACAACTGTTGAAAGAACAAAACTGATTGATTCATAACCTTATAAAAAAAAATAAAAAAAAAAAACCCAAAAATGGATCTGTGTTCGAACAGATAGAAGAAATGGCATATTGTAAATGTGGCTTTGGAATGGTAATTACAACTGTTCATTTGATACAGAAAAAATAAAGTCGAACAAATGACCAACTATTCACACCAATTTCCATTTATAAGAAAAGATAACATTAACATATATATTGACAATTACTTGCCTAATGAATAATTGTGCAAATCAATTTTGTCTACATAGTTTCTACTTTTACGAAATTTTTTGGTTTCATTTGTTACAATATTTGTATTCTACACATAAACAATATGAATTACTATTTGTCAAGTTATTTGTGCTTGTAAAAAAATTTTGTTTGTAAAACCCCATTTTTTTAGAAACAAATGGGGACATCTGTCATTTTTTCAAGAAAGAATTCCCGAACTTTGAATTATGTAGACCTCATTCATATCATATTTGTTGTGGTAGTCATTTACACGGTCAGAAAACAAACCATGGCTTCTTTTACCTCAACTGCAACTTCCACTACATGGCCACGCGGGATGTGTGCCTGTGGCTATGGTCAATGTGTTATGAAGATATCCAAATCAAACAAAAATCTAGGGCGTCTGTACTTTGCTTGTTCCTGCCCTGTGGTGAGCGCCCAATTCAATTACGGTCATAATTGAATTTAATTTCGGACCAATTGATTAATAGCTTCATCATTTTCACTTGTTTGCCCTGTGTCAGTTGGATTGGTTGGTGCGAAGAACCAAGGAGACAAAGCATAGACTATGCATCATCTACGAACAACATTGTCATGTACTTGCGGGATGATGTCATACGCATTCAACACTCGTTGCGTCTCATTAAAACCATTGTCTTTGTGTTGTGCATTGTCGTTGTCATTTTGTTGTTGCGTATGTAAGCAAACTTAGTGTTTTGCATGCATGATTGTTATAATGATGTTGACTGTAATCACTTTAATTTCGCATATAGTTCCATGAATAGTTCGGGGGAGATGTTAATGACTACTTTAGTGCAACGAAATTATTTAAAAAGAGTTTGTATTCTTATGTCCACTCGTTCTGCATGAATTTTATGTGTTGCTATTCTTATTTTAATTACTGTGTAATGGTTATATATTGTCAATGTAGCAACCAAATATTTTTCATGTTAGTCGCAATTTTGTGATTGTGATCATTTTGACTCGTAAATTACTTGGCATGTATTCGTGGTTAGTCGAAATGGCTTCATACATACTTTGCCTTGTACCCCGTTGAAAAACAACGGATTGCAACAGAAAAGTCTAGCAGTGTTGAAGAAACACAAAAGCTTCACCACAAGGCATCTGGGATAGTGAATCAACAAGGATTTTCTTGCAGCTGATTGCCAATGAGATTACAAAGGGGAATTGCCCATTCCTAGTCCTAAGCCAAACTGGGTACAAGTCGTTGGTAAAGAAATTTGAAAAAAAAAAAAAAAGGGGGAAAAAGACATGGTCTGCAACAGTTAAAGAACAAATATAAGAGTCTCAAAAAAGAATAGAATGCTTGGAGGAAGTTAATGGATTCTAGCGAAAGAATCTCAGGGATTGGATTTAACAATGAAACTGGTTTGTTTTAGGCGTCGGATGTGTGGTGGGATAAGATGGAATCGGTAAGTAAATTTTTATTTCTGCACGTTTGTTTTGTTTAATATTTTTTGGATACCATTTATATTTGTTTTTGTTGGTAATAAGCCATCCTCATATTGCATGTAGTAACACTTCTTATTTATAATTTTCATTTTTCAGACAAACAAGATGTGTGCAAAGTTTAGGAAAAAAAAACTCTGGAACACCGCGAGTTGATGGAGACGATCTTCACAGGGGCTTCTGCTATGGGTAAAAATCATTGGACCCCGAGAGAGAAAGTAGCTGAACCTACAGCTGTTTCATCAGATTCTATTGACAGTATAGGATTGCGCCCATTCATTGATCTGACCCCTACATGTGCAGTCGATGTGGACCCAAATTCTTTAATGGAACCAGTTGATACTGCGATAAAAAGGAAATGGACTCCGTCAACAAGTTGTGCAAAGTCAAAGAAGGCAACAGGTGGTTTGTCAGTTATAGCGGAAAACATGAATAATTTGACAAACGTGGTTCGGAGCTAAAATCAGCAAGTCACTGTCAGGCACCTCACTAGTAACGAATCACTGTACACAATTTTGAAGTGCATGCAACGGCTCAGATCCATTCCTTCCTTTTTCGGTACGTCGCTATTCCACTTGGCATCAACACTGATGGACAACGCAGGTTACCAGGAGGTGATGATGTGCCAGCCCAATGATGACCACATTATAGGGTGGCTGACACAGAAACATCTGCAATGCATTGCTGCTGTGCCGTTTGCGAACTTGTTCTGGGCTCGACGGGTTTGATAGTTGTTGACGTGAACATGGGTTGGGTTTTGAAGCTTTGAAATTTTTGAATTACCGTGGATGTGAGCTTGTAATAAACAGGATGGTTGTGTGTGTTGTTTTCAATTTTTTTTTTTTTTGTTCTTAGCCATGTTTTATCGTTGGCAGAAAACTGTGTGGTTTTTATTAACATTGACAACGGTGGGCTGCCGTGTCATGCTTATTTATTTTTATTTTTTTAACCTTTGTCTATCGTAATTTTCGTTGTGTTGGTAATGCAAGCGAATAATTCTTGGTTTTTATATTAGCAAGTAGCAGCAAACACGTGTCGATCTATTATGATTTGATAGCTCGCTATATGCAATTATACCCATCTATTACCTATGTTCAACATGGTCACGAATAAAAGTGGCTTTCATGGTCAAAAAATGTCTTCGCAACTGTTATTACATTATCTCAGTCCATCACAGGTCAACTGATTTGAATAGTTTCTAACGTTGTAGGTGTCGTTGAATTTGACGTGATGAACAACGAGGAAGGTAGCAACAATGACGGTCTAATGGAAATGCTTAACCAAATGGCCATATAGCTTCAACAACAAGATAACTGGACATTCCTCAAAGAATGCCGGTATGTGCAAGAGTGGTACGAAAAACACATACGTAAGACGCCATGTCACACTTCTATTTTGACTAGACATGCATGAATAACTGAATTGTATGCGGGCCACGTCGGTCGATTTGAGGAAAATGTGTGCATGCCAAAGGAAGTTTTTGCGTCTTTGTGTGATACGTTAGTTCATGATTTCAGGTTACAAGTACCGCAACGTGAACATGGCTTAGCCATTCAAGAAAGCGTTGCAATGTTTATCCAAGTGTTGAGAGGGTTTTAGAATCGAGAAATCCAAAAACGGTTTCAATATTTGGGGGAGACTGTGTCTCGGCATGTGCATAATGTATTAGCGGTGATGAAGGAGTTCATTGTTGCACATTGCAGGCCAACATATAATCAGCATCATATACATCCATACTTGTGGTCCAAACGGAAATACCTACCTTTCAAGGTACTATTTTCAAACCATGACTCAGTTAAGTTTATTTCTATGTTTGGAAATAATGTTGATGTGACGTGTAAAAAACACCGTGCTTTTGGTGTCATCAACATTCCAACAAAAACCATTTCATGTACTCCTAGAAATAGTAACTATTGGTTTATTTTATTGACGAGATGTTTGTTCAAAATTTAAAATGTGAACAGGAAGTGGTGTAAAGAAAAAATAGGAAAATTGCAATGTGTAAAACATATTAACTCTTGTTGGCAGGACTATATTAGAGCAATTGATGGAATACATGTTACTGCGTTGGTTACGGGGCCAAAGGCTCCAACATATTTTGGTAGGAAATACTGTCACACCCAAATATCATGGCCGCGTGCGATTTTGACATGTGTTTCACCTTTGCATCGCTTGGATAGGAAGGAAGTATGCACGATAGTTGCATCTTCAATGAAATAATCACAAATGACAATGTTCCTTTTCCACATCCTGAAGAAGGTATTATATAACAATGACAAATTTTGGTACATAATATCTAGAAAATAAAAATAAAAATATCGCGGTATTTAATTTGAATTCCTGGTATTTTTGCAGGCAAATATTATCTTGTCGATGGTGGCTATTCGAACCGCATAGGTTACCTAGCACCATTCAAAGGCAGTCGTTACCACCAACAACAATTCTGCGTTACTAAAAGGCGTAGGACAACAGACAACCCCAGGGAATTATTTAACAAAGTTCACGCGTCGTTACGGAATGTGGTGGAATGCACTTTTGGAGCATGGAAAAATCGATAGGGGTTTATTCAAATTATGCCTCAGTACAATTTTGCAAATGTACAAGAGCAGTTGGTTGGTGCGTCAAGGGCGTTACATAACTATATATGTAGAAATACTAGCAATCCAACGACTATTAACCCCATCTTCAACGAAGAAGAGGCTATGGCAATAGTAAATAGCATACCAAAAGTTGCACATGACGAAGATGGTTTAATGAATGGGGATGATGACCCCCATATGGCATTGGTGCGACTTCGCATCCGAGACAAGCTAGTGTACATGCGCAAAAACGAAATGTTAGGAAACATAGAGTCAACCTAATATTCGTATGCGTGTAACATTGTTCAGCCACAGTCGGGATGTATGTAATTATATTATATTGTACAATATGTATGTGTTTACACAAAAAAATGAACTATGGTTTACGTAACGTATTTTGTAAAATTATTGTGTTGGAGAAAGGGAAAATTTGTTATGTACTTGTTTTAAGCATGGTAGCACAATGGCAAACCACGGTATTATGATTTGATGACTTTGAGAGCAAAATTTAAAAAATTAAAAAAATAAAATGGGCACGTACTATGTCGAAAATTACAATATTTGGCCGTCAGACAAGTTGGGTGAAATGTAGCAGTATGATTTGCACCAACTTTTCTTTAACAAATTGTAAAACAAGTGCAGAGGTGATGTGTTCGAAAATAGATACCAAAAGGGAAAATTATTATTTTTTTTAAAAAATGGTAAAATTGTCATTTTTCCCGTAATTATTAAAAAAAAATAAAGAAAACGAAAATGATAGGCAGATATGGCAGCCTTGTAACCCACACGCCCCGCGAGTTGAACAGCAAAGGGAAAATGTTTTGCCCAAAGGCATTTCGGTAATTTTACATATGGACACCTCATCACCAAGTCAAAAGGCCAAAAAGCCTATCCCAAATCAGGCTTTTTAGCCTCAAGCAAAAAAAGTCAAAAAGCCAACCCACATCCCAAACGAACCCAAAATATGCTAAAATAGTTAATAAGATAAAATGTTACATTAAACCCATAATCATTTTACTTTTCTCTCACAAACATCATATCTAACTACAAAAAAATCAAACCATCTTCTTAAACACAACTTTAGCATACTAAAATAGCCAAAAGCTAGGCAACTTTCCAAACATGGCCAAAATAAAATTTAAAAGCATCATAATTTGGTCAAAATTAAGAAAAATGGTTTTTTATTGATAAATCCATTCTAGAGTTGTTATAACCCATTAGGTCCACAAAGGAATATTATAACCTGATTAGTCCCATAAACTTTTCTTTTTATTCCATAAGGTCCATTTTTCTAATTTAATATATTTACCTGGACTATTTTGCCCCCATATATATATATATATGTACAGTGTTAATACGTATTTACGTATTACGTGCCTATTTCCTCGCTGATTCAGTTTGGCAGTTCTATTTTACGCTTTTCATTATCAATCCAATTCCAAGAGATACGTTTATGTTTTGCATGCTTGTTCCAAGGATTGGTTATGATAGGGTTTCATTCTTGCTGTTGTAGTCTGGTCCTGTGGTTTGCGAGTGAAGACGACGAAGAGGAAAGTGTTCGGCTGTCACATTTTCCGGACTATAAGTAGTTCAAATCAGTTGTTTTCGACTTTCTGGACGATTGTAGGATTGCATGATTAAGGTTAGTATCAATTGGTTATGACTACATGTTCAGTTTATGGTTTCATTCGTATGATGGATCAGATGTTCTGTTTTTGGATTGATATGAATTGGATGCTCTAGTTTTTCAATTATATGCTTTTTACGTGGTCCTGTGGAGGGTAGTTCATTCATGTTATGTGAAGAACAGTGTTAGTTCTCATTTTACTTGGATGTATGCGTAATGAGGATCTCTGTGGATGATTTGATTATCAGTATATATGTCGTTGACATTTTGTTAATGTGGATTATGTGAAGAATGTGGATGTTCTCATTTTAAATTGATGTTTACTTAATGAGGCTCTGTGTGTGTGATATAATTCAGAGTGTATGTTTCAATGTAAATGTTCAGATTTTGTTAATATTATGTGAAGTTTGTTGGTGTTCTCATTTTTACTTTGATGTTTGCAATTTTGGCATCTTGTTAATATAAATGTGAATGTTCACATCTTTGTATTTGTGAATTATGGATTTAGCACCTGAACTGTACACGTAGTAATTTTTGATTATTTGCACAATGTGAATTTTCATGTTGATTTTGATTAAATGTGTAGTTCTCATTTTACTTTGATGTATGCATAATGAGGCTCTCTGTGGATAATTTGATTATCAGTATATATATCAATGTGAATGTTCACATTTTGTTAATGTGGAATATGTGAAGAATATGGATGTTCTCATTTAAAATTGATGTTTGCTGAATGAGGCTCTGTGTGTGTCATATAATTCAGAGTGTATGTGTCAATGTAAATGTTCACTTGCTTAATGTTGACATCTTGTTAATAGTAATGTGAATGTTCTCATCTTCATATTGTGAATTATGGATTTAGCAGTTGAAATGTACACGTAGTCATCTATTTTTTGCGCAATGTGAATTTTCATATCGATTTTCATTACTGTTCATTGTTGTGTTTTTGTGTTTTTACAGGAGATGGATACCTTTATGCTATTGGTGTGTACATATGGTTGTAGTACAACTGTAATAAATGTTGCCCGCGCAATGTGTTATTCTCGTTTGGTGGAGTGTTTGTGTGAGAAATGGGATGAGTTGTCTGCTGGTTCTATTTCACTGTTCTGTAAACTACCTGGGATTAGGAAGTGTGATTTGGACAATGAGGAAGAATTTCAGAACATGTTACTGCTTGCTAAATCAATGGGGGTACAACATGTAGAAGTTGTGGTTGAGTTGAAAAGTGATATTGGTCAGTCAAGTAGCTCGGGATTGCTGCGTGTGGGGGTTAGGAAGATATTGATGCACTACGGAGATTTTGCCACCATAAGGAGAAGATGTTGTTGTCAACCCCTTGGGCAAATGGTATTACACATGTGGGACAAAGGTTTATTGGAGGTGCACAAGAATTTCGTGACGTTTTATGTAAGTATGCCATCCAATGTGGGTTTCAGTTTACATACGTGAAGAACGAGACAGCAAGAGTTACTACTGTGTGTGCGATGCGGGAGGAGAGGGGCTGCTTGTGGGCTATACATTGTAGAGCAAAACGAGCAAATGATTTTTTCTACATCAAGAGTTTTAGTGATGTGCATACTTGTGGTATGGATGTTCGAACATCAAAGAATCCGCGAGTTAGTTCGGATTTGGTGTCGAGTACCATATCTGAAATTGTGAGGGACAAGCCGTTGACTCGGCCGTGTGATGTTGTGACTATTTTGAAGAGGGATTATGGGCTAGATGTGAGTTACCATGTCGTATGGTTAGCTGTGGAGAAAGCAAAGGCTGGTATTCATGGAGATCACTCATTATCGTTTGACCAGCTGTGGTGGTATTCGGATGCTGTGATGCGGTACAATCCGGGGAGTTATGTCAATATTGACTATGATGCGAGTAGTCAACAGTTTTGTCATTTTTTTGTGTCATTCGTTGTGTATATTTCTGGGTTCAATTCTTGTCGGCCTTTATTATTCTTGGATGGAACATTCCTCAAAGGAAAGTACAAAGGTCAGCTACTTGCGGCAACGGCGAAAGACGGAAACAATGGTTAGTATTTTTTTTACCTGTATATTCATGTCAATATTCACATTGACATGCATAGTATGGACAAATGAGTGATTGAAAAATTATAAGTAATGTGAACATTGACATTAGTATGCACTGATGTGAATGTTCACATCTGTGTCTGCTAATGACAGTAATGTGAACATTCACATTATTATACACTGATCCATTCACATTATTATACATCTGTGTCTGCTAATGACAGTAATATGAACATTCACATTCACATAAGTGTATACTACTGTCAGTTGATCCATTAATGAATAGTACTGTGAATGTTCACATTATCAATTACTGAACAATCAAAAATGAATTATTAATGATCGTTAATGTGAATGTTCACATCATTGATGTTTATGAACTTGAATCCAGAAATAACAATAGTAATAGGGCAATGTAAATATAAAAATTCACATAACCTGTTTCGTTTATATTATTTTCTATTCACTTTGGAATATTGTGAACAGTTGCGTATTGGTGTTGTGTTGTAGGTCTGTTTCCTGTTGCATTTGCGATTGTTGATTCGGAGACCACGGCGAATTGGTCGTGGTTCTTGCATGAACTTGGGAAGGTTGTTGATGGTAACCGCCAGATTACTTTTATTTCGGATCGTAATCTTGGCCTGTTAGAAGCTATGCCGAAGGTGTTCCCATCGGCTCATCACGGTTATTGCTTACAACACTTGAAGAGCAATTTAAGAGATCGGATGAAAGGAATTGATAATGGATTCAAGGATCACCTAGTAAGTAGTTGGGTGATTGTGCTTATGAGTCAATTGTGGTAGGGTTCCATGAAAAGCTTGCAAAATTAAAAGAGGAGGGTATGCAACGAGCACATGATTTTTTCAAGGACTTGGCACCTGAGCACTGGGCAAATTCATACTTCAGGTAATAATAGTTTCATAAAGTGTTCCATTTGTCAAGTTCAGAATGGTAGCGATGTGAATGTTCAGTTAAGAATTGTCAAAATCTTCCAATTGTGTTTCATATTCAATGTCAATGATGTGAATGTTCACATCTGATAATGATGACTGATTTGAATGATGTGAATGTTCACATCTGTTGTCATATTTTGCTGTTGTTAACATTCACATCATTCTGTCAATTAAGTTGATGTTAATGTTCACATCTGTCTATTGTGTAAGTTGATGTTAATGTTCACATCAGTCAACGTGAATGTTCAGACCTGTTAAATTTCGTATTGTAAAATGTTTGTGATATTGTGCAGGGGCATGCGTTATGGGGAGATGACTTCCAATGCGGCAGAGTCATTTAATAACTGGATTAAAGAAGCACGTAATCTTCCTATCACTCAAATGGTGGACACAATTCGTACTCAGTTGATGCGGCAAATGTCTGCACGGCGTGACCAAGCAAACAAATGGAAAGAGCTTATTTGTCCTACATTTGAAACAAGGCTTATGGATTCGTTCAATGACAGCAGGTCTTGGCAAGTTAGCAAAGCCAATGAGAATGTGTTTGAAGTTCATTCGATACCATCTGTTAATGTTGATGTTGCGAGGCGTACATGTTCGTGCTTCAAATGGCAAATCAACGGATTCCCATGTGACCATGCTGTTGTTGCCATTCAGAAGAGCTGCTACAATCTCAATGATTGTGTAGAACATTACTTTCATGTACAGACATATCGTGCAGCGTATTCGGGTGCCATATTCCCTATACCATCGGTGGAGAAGCTGCCTTTTGATCCCATGGACTTCACTATATAC